TGCAGGTTAACCAGGGAGGGCCCTGTAAACATTTTCTTAGGAAACCAAGATTTAAAATAAATCCCCCCAATAGTAAAATAATTTTAAAGATCTACTGATGTAATTGAATGTCATCTTATCAATAAATCTCCCAAAACTACATGTGCAAATGTTATATTTACGTATATTCCAGAACCACATGGACTTGGCCAAAGGCCACATAAAGGCACTTCAGGAAGGAGATCTTGCTTCTTCCAGAGGTATTGAGGCCTGCACCAATGCTGCTGACGCCCTTCTGCAATGCATGAATGTAGCTCTTCGCCCAGGTATGCTCACTGCAATGATAAAATCTGAGACTAAGCCTGTAACTTGGTATCAGACTTCTAATGAGAAGTATATGGGGCAAGTGGTTTAAGGTAAGACTATGAAACTACTCGTTTTATTTCCTGACATACTTCTTTTGCCATTAAATCTTCTTCATTTCAGTTTCTCCTTTTTAAACATCAGTGACTACTTATTACCACCATGATTCTTCTTTAGTACTCTCTTTAGGACAAAGTAGAAACTTTGGTTAGACAAAAGAGATTCTAGACCAGTGGATCCAAAAGTTGAGTTTGCATCAGCATCACACAGAGGACTTGTTAACATATACATGGTCTGACCTGGCCTGCAGATTCAGTGTGTTGGGCTGAGGCCCTCAAGTTCACATTGCTGACTATTTCCGCATGATACTGAATGAAGCAGCACCACACTTGGAGAAGCTGTGCTATGTACTCTTTTGTTTTCTTCCCTGATAACCTTTTTTTTATTAAGCAAATGAATGAGGTAGCAACACTAGCTTCTTCAAAACTGAAATATGCATGCCATCATAAATGTATTAAGCAGCAAGGAAATCTTTTTTACCCAGTAAATCAGTCAAAAAAAAAAAATGTTCTAATTTCAGGTCATGATATGCTTCTGGCAGTCAAACAGCAACAGCAGCGTTTCAGTGATTTGCGAGAGCATTTTGCCCGGAGATTGGCCAGTCACCTCAACAATGTTTTTGTTCAACAGGTAATTTATCTTACTTTAAAACCAATGTATTCTTACTATTAAGCTCATTTACCTTAAGCTTAAATTCCCACATGGAAAAAAAATTCATTTCACACATTTATGACTTTAAGATTTTAAATACGTATATGATTATTCATAGATGTATTTTGGACCTCAGCTGCCTCCTTTCTGCTCAAAATATGATTCTAGAAATCAAATAAATAGCTATCCTTACTTATCATACATACCATGTAGTTATTGTTATTTATGAAAATAAGCCCAAACTGACTGCATATATATATATAGTTGGCCAATTTAATTTTTCAAAATTTGAGGTGAAAACTAGGACTTGACTCAGTGTAACTGAGTCATTTAAATTGTGTATTGATATACATGATAAAGGTACCAGCTCAATTGTGAATTCCTGTTGATTTAATTTATTCAAATCCTTGCCCATATTTTTATTTAGAAAGGGATGTTACGATTAAGTTTGTGAGAATAATATTACTATTAATAAAATTAAAAGTACCTTAGAGGAATTTCAAATGAAGACATTTTAATACATCTTGTTTAGTAAATAGATTAAATTTCATATGTTTTTCATCTCTTATTGTATTACTTATTAGGCAAAAACATTGAGGGAGATCTTGTTAATCAAGAAATGCTGTCTGAAACATTGGATTGTTCTTTTGTTTTCATTTTGCAGTATTCTGAAACAATTGTAGTCACTGTATTTTATTTCTGATTAGTTTACTCAGGCCCTCCTTCAACTCTATAACAGGTCCTACTTTCTTTCCGTGCCTGTGAGTACATCGATTTGGCTCTAGCTTTTCTTATTTTTTTTCTGTAATATTTGCTAAATTTAACAGCAGCAGAATCGCTAGAGATTGTAACTTGCTGATTTTAGCTACTTATTAACCATATTTATAGCAGTTTTTTAATGTCCCATGCCAGAAAGCTTATTTGGGCCAAAAAGGCATTTAATCTCATTCTGCTTGCCTTTCTTCCTGTCATTTTTTCACCCACTCACTTCTTCCTCTATTTAGGTATTGTTTGCCAATTGATAGGGATGCATACCAGACATTTACTGACTGATCCAGTCCTTGGGTAATTTCCAGGCTAGGAAAGAGAGACAGACACGTTTACTCAGGAAGAATAAATTTTACAATAGCAATACTGTGGGAGCATAAGGGAAGACCACCTACCTGAGCTCATGAGGGGAAGTCAAGAAAGACTTTCAACATTTTACTTGATCTTAGAAGTATCAGGGAAAGACTAAATCTCTGAGAAATATTCACATTTTTGTTATATTATCATTTCAATAATATATACTTCTATATAATTCCTTAGATTTAAAAAATGACACTGATGTCTTTTAACATTAGCACTGTCAGTGACACTGCCAGTGATGTTATCCACAGGTGCAGGTGATATGAAAATGTCCCTAGTCTGTTCTGCACCCACAGTTGTTTGTTGTAACTTGCAATTCATGATTTTGCTTCTTGGCCTTGTATACTAATGATTTTATTAAAAATGAATGCTTTCCAGTTCTGCAAATCTAATATGTATTCTTATATGAGAGTGATGCATGTTAGAACCAGAATATTGCAACAACCTAAGATGTGCTGAACAAGGTATGGGAGGTTTTCTCAAGCATAGAAAAGACATTTTCTCTGTGTTGAATTTATCCTAAAAGTATTGGGAAATATGGATATTTCTTTCCCTCATTATGGGGAAAATTAGCTGAAAACTTTTGCTTACCATATTATGGTACATCTGTTTGTCAGCCTTTAAATTTCCTTTAGGTTTTTTTTTTGTATTCACTGTTGTCTATATGTAAAAATGAGAAAGAAAATAAAAAACACAAGAATAAGAAATGGCTTCCACCCTGAAGATCCCAGTAAGGAGGCATTGAAGCTAATGTACTTAACAGCTTTACAGCAATATATACTTTAAATTGCTAATTGTATAAGTACACATACATAATATTCATATGTATAACTGCAAGAGAGATTTTCTCAAAAGTGAGTTTCCTGTAATTATATAAGGCATTATAGCTAATACAGTAAAGACAGGATTTGAACAGTCTTTGAGATGTAGTTTCTAGTAAATGTGTACATGTGATGACATACCTACCATACAGAAAAAAATTCCTGTAATGTTTTGACTTTTTTAAACTATAATCAGAGATAAAGTATATAGTAATTAGTAATTAGAAAGTATATAGTATGTAATTCCTGTATGTTTTAGTATTAATTTTATTCATATTAATTATTTATAGTCTATAGAAAAGATGTAGGAACCTAGGCATGTCAAATACATAGAATAGTTCTATTTTCTAGTAGTATAGCTCTTAGTCTTGATTCTTTTGGAAAATATGATCAATTTATATTCAACCAGCTATCCATAAAAGAATACTCACATAGGTTCACATTCTCTTATCCAAAGCTTTTAGAATCAGCTTTGTTTTCAGACATTTTTATTTTAGAAGAGTATTATAGTGCATATACTGTGTATTATATATCCATCCCAGCAGGATATAGAGCACTGCTCTCTAACCAGGCATGTGGTATCTCTGCAGTAAATAGCCTCATGTCCATTAAGGTCAACTTTTGCCATCAAAATAGTTTTGGCACCAATCTTAAATTGAATTTTTAGAGCTTTATGTATTTTAGAATTGTACAAAGGGATTGTGGACCTTTGTACATAATATATCCTGTATTTCTGGATACTTACTCATTTCTGTGGTTTCTACCTCAGGTTCTTGTTTTCGTGAATTAGTCTAGTTTCTTATATTTTTCTGCTATCTTTGGTTTGATTTCCCAAGTTAATTTTAATAATATTTTAATAAGATTAATCTTGGAACTCCATCCTACACAGTTTCATATGTAATTTCTATATAGTAGGTCTTAGTTTTTCTTTATTTTCATCTTAAATTGGGGTTATACCCTTACAAGAAGAAAATCCCCTGACAGACCAATTGGAATATGTTAATGAATAAAGAGACTTAGGAAATGATAGCCTTACTACTTGGTGTGTCTTGTACTTCCATCTTTCTTAATTCTAAAGTTACATCTCCATTGCTAGAGAATTCATTTCCCTAGCCAGGAATTTTTCTTTTAGTATTCTATTTCTTTGAGAAAACTTGTTTATTAGAAAATTTATAACCACTAAGTTCTTATTTTACGTATGTAGTAAAACTTACTAGATTGAAGGAAAAAACTTTTAAATTAAAAGAATTTAACTTAAATTTAAATTCAGAATTTAAAATTAAAAGAATTTAACTTAAATTTAAATTCAGAATGTTTATAAGGTAATGCATTCCAACTAGTATAATACACATTTAGTTAACTGTGGTAGCTTTGCCAAGAAATGAGTTAACCAACCCAAAACTCCAAGTCTCTCATTTTAACAAATGCTTTAACAAATATCTTCTGATTATCTAGGCAAATTAGATTGAACCAGAATGACTTAAAAATAGCACCCCCCCTTTTTTTTTAATCTTGAGAACTTTATTTTCAAGCAGAACCTACTACTGTAATTTTTCAGCTCTCCATCTCTTAGACACTGGTTTTAGGACTATCACAAATGTTGACCAAGAAGAGAGCAGGTTGTTTGAAAGGACAGATAGGAGGATTTTTTTTTTTTAATACTAATAACCAGTAGGCATTGTCATATTTGAGCGTGGGTTACATTGATTTTGTTTGACTTTTTTTTTTTCTTTTAGAGAAAAGTGAGACTCACACTAGTCTAGCTTCCTTCCAGTGTGACCTGAGCAAATCACTTATCCCTTTGAGTTTCAATTTCTTCTTCTGTACCTAGAAAATAACTAGTTCTTCTTCAGTTACTAGAAAATAATTACTAGATCAGATGATCTACTGGGTCGATATTTTCCAAAAGAATAGTCAGGATAAGCCATCTAAGACTGTTAGATAACTTATTAACATACTTATAGAGTAAGTCTTTCAAGATTTAAAAATAAAACCGCATGTAGTTATTTTTTTAACAAATTCTTTAAAAGGAGAATTAAAATTGCTTTCTTATTAGAGAGTATCCTGGAAAGCCCAGGATATAGTCATCCTATAGAGCTTCCCACTCCTAAATTTTTTATCCTACCTATTTTTGTCTGTTACTTTATAGATACCATTGGAAATAATGTGGTCAATATGTTTGAAATGACTTTGTAGTGTTTTAATAGAGCTTATGTTATAGTTTAATTTTAGTAAATTATTATTTTTAGTAAATTATAAAATGATACAATATGGAAGAGACAAGTTTGATTAAAAACATTTAATCTCAAGTTCTTTAGAAGACGAAATGAGTAGCTGACTTATCAGAGTGCCTTTCTGTTGTGATTATGGTTATTTTATGGTGATTGTGCTCTCCAAAGGGTGATAAAAAATAGGCAAGTACTTGGTTTTTATTTCTCTGTTAAGTCAGTTTTGCTTAGCCAAATTTAATTGTTGTTTAGAATTTTTACTCACAATAGCTTATTTGTATTGTCAGTGATATTTATTTACCTGTTTACTCATTCTAGGGTCATGATCAGAGTTCAACTCTTGCTCAGCACTCAATCGAACTCACTTTACCCAATCATCATCCATTTCATAGAGACTTGCTCCGGTATGCCAAGCTAATGGAGTGGCTAAAGAGTACAGACTATGGAAAATATGAGGGGCTTACAAAGGTATGGATTCAACATTCATTACTGACCATCAAGCAGGATCTTTAATAAGCGAGAGGTTATGATTCAATTCCCCAAGTGATATTTGATATTTGTAGTATATTCTAAGTAAAGCAAGAAGTAAATTGAATTTTTGAGTGCTTATTAAGCAGGTAGAACATTTATCTTATTTACTTGAATAAAGAGGAACTAAGTTTTGAATTTCAGTTTAATAAATGTTAGGACATGCTGTAGCTTAAAGCTTCATTCAAATTAAATAAATACTGTGGTTGTTTCCTGAGTGTCTTTATGCACAATAGAGGAACTAGGAAAATAGTATGAATGTGTGTAGTAAGGCATTTGCCCTCTAAAGATGTATTATCTGTTTGGTTAAACAAGCAGAGTATCTTTTTATTAAGCAAGCATTCCACTACTCCAGGCCCATGAAGCCTACAAACATACATCTAATTCTAAGGAGCTTTCAGCCTGAATGGAAAGAGCAATTACACATAAAACAGCAAAAATATGTGCCAGTTGTGTCAATTTGAAAAAAAAAAATTGAATTGAAATGAACTTACGGACATAGCAATTTGAAGAATGGAAGCCATGTGGGGAAAACCTTCATGGTACATATTGGACTTAAATTGAGTTTTAAATAATGAGTAATTAGATAAACTAGAAATAAGAGAAAGGGATGAGGAACAAAATGTGCAGACAGTGGTGGGAAAATAAGCCTTTTTCCCAGGACAAATTAGGAGTCAGGCCTGGCTAAAGCAGAAATTTCATATTCTGGAGAAGTGAGGAATTATGTTGAAAAATATCAGCCATAAGGCCTCATACATGGGAAAAGACTAGATGGGGAGATTAATTCATGTAACAATTCAGTGAAATAACATCTTGAGCCAGGAAGATGGTGGTAGGAATAGAGAAAAATAAGCAAAAAGAGAGATTCCAAAGACACAAGGGGCTGGATGATGCTTCCTTGCCCGGGATGAGTGGAGCCATAATCTGCATCACTGACTTACTGGCATGGCTAGGGAAGAGAAGAGTCGTTCATTCAGTCATATATTGAACAAACAATTGAGCGCCTGCTAAATGCTAATACTGTGTAAGTCTACTGGAGTTACAGCACTGTAGAAAAAGGCAAATACTGGCATATTCTGATGGAGAAAGACTAACCAAAAAAGTCAACCACATTGTGTATTAGAAGATGCTGCTGAATGCTCTGGAGAAGATAAAGCAGAGACTGACAGAACTTGGGATTCGAATAGGATGGTCATTAAAGGTATCATGTGAAGGTAATAATCTGAGCACAGATTTTGAAAATAAGCGAAAGTGAGTAGTGGTATTAGTGGGGTTGTAGACATAGTGCATGTACCCGAAGGCAAGAGCATGCCTGGAGTGCTTGAGGAACTGGAATAGTTGGAGCACAGCTATCTTGGGCTGCGCCTTAGAAGGGCAGGAGGGAGCGATCAGGAGGGGAGTGGACAGATCTAGAAGGATCTGTGCACCATTGTAAGAATTGGCTGTTACTCTGAGAGAGGTAGGGGAAGGAGGGTGTTTGTGGTCCTTCAACATGATCTGACTTCGATTTAATAAATGGCTATGACAGCAGTACAGTACTTCCTGATATTTATTCTATGATTTTTATTCTATGATTTATTCTATTTATTCTATGATTTTTAGTTTTGGAATTGACTATGTCACTTAAGGAGCTAAAGAATTGCTACTTAGCGCAAACTTATAAATAGTTATATACATATAAATATATATATATTTTTACATAAAAGACGAGTGTATTTAAAATTCTCAAATACCCTGAGAAACATTTAAAATCCTTTACCTATAAGTTTTTATGAATTTGGAATTTTAAAATACAAAATACAAGTAATGTATAAGCTACATAGTAATCAGTAATAATTTAATTATGTGGAATATATGACCTTAAATGATGTTCTTGAATTTGAGTGATACGATTTGTCTCTCTGGAGTCAGAATATTTGACTGTTAATATAAAAGAGACTCTTCTGCCCTACTCTTGTGTTTATAGCCAAAATTTCCTAACTGAGAATTTAAATAGTAAAGTCATTTTATTTGTTGAGACATTTTTCTTTTCTTAATTTTTGTCTAGTTTTATTCAGAAAATGGAGCTTTTTGGGAAAGTTTTAATTATTTCAACTCTTACACAGTATCATAGGTTCATGCTTCATGAGAAGGCAGAGGGCTAGGGAGTGTGATAGTAAGAAAAAGTTAGATTGCATATTCTTTTCAGTGTATCACTGTCAACCTACTTGACAGAGGGACTTTCATTACATGTCAGTCTTCAAGTATTCTCTCTGCAGAGTGCATTTTCCACTTAGGGTAAAATCTGACTCCCTCTACTTCTAGATTGATATTGCAAGAAAAGGGAAATAAACCATAGTAAAGTAAATGATATTTTAAAATTATAATTAAAAAATGCTTTTCAAGAAGAATCTAAGTATCCTGAGGTGTTTATATTACATCTTACCTGGCTAGCTGTTTTAGATAAGATTATTTATGTTCCTCAGAATTAGTTTAACTTTTATGCAACTCTACTGTTGTGTTATATTTTGTTTTCATTCAACAGAATTCTGATTTGGAGATATCTTAAGGAAAAATATTTACATTACTGGAATTGTTTGCCTTTTGAATTTTTAGGAGGATTATTATTTTGAATAATTAAACATTATTATATCTTCTTAAGAGTTTTGTGCCAACATGTGCTTTGTCCCCTAGTGAATATTCAAATAAGTAATCAATAAGCTTTTTGCCTAATTGTGTTCTCAGTGAGTATTATTGCCTATCTTTATCTATAATGCAGTATTCATGAATGTAATTTAAAGTAAAGAAAAAGATTATAGCCAACCGAGTGATGATTTATGGAATCATCTCTGCTCACAGTACACGTTGACAATATTAATGAGCTTTTTTTTTTTTAAATGAAATTGACTTATTTTCCAGGAATGTTACTTGATCTTGTGGTTTAAACTTTTGACAGACTTTATATTTGAACTCATAATCTAATTTGGTTGCAGAAGTATTATCAAAGACAGGAATTTTATTTAAAAGGACAGGGAAGAAAGATATGAAAAAAGAAAACAGGCAAACTAGTGTTTCTGTAGTAAGGAAAAACAGTCAAGCCCAGATAATTTATTTGTGCTGTGTTGGGTATGTGCAGATCACACTTCTGGGTTGAGGTGTGGGCTTGTTCTCTAAGAGTTTAATCAGTAAGATTTTAATTTATAGTTGTTTTCAGCAGAAATACTTTCAGCAATAAAAACTGCCTCTAAACTGAAGGTAATATATCTCTTGCCATACAGCATTCCCTATGTTTCATCAGCATAAGTCACTCAAGGAAAAAAATGTAAAGTGTGAGGCAAGACCAGTGCTTTAGATCCATCTAAAGGTTCTGCAGTTAACTGAGTAGGGTTTGTACCTAAAGAAAAATCTTAAAAGCTGGCTTTGTTATTCATAAATCACACATTTTGGCAGGAACCATGGAAAGACTATTCCAAAGTATTTAGCCAAATGTTATCACTAACCACTGCCCCAATTCTACTTATGGCTGAATTTAAGTTCTGATTTTTGGTGTACATAACTTGAGCCAATGGAATTAAGGGTGCCTTGGCCATGTAATGACCAGTAACGCCCAGATTCTTGCCTTCTGGAACTATGGCCCTTCTGTGTGACATGTAGAAGGATAATAGAGAAGGTTCATCCTTGCTTGGATAGTAAGTGAACTTTACTGTCCTACTGACCTGTGAATGACAGTCAGTCTTGAAGACTACTTAGGTATCTCTCACCCACAGTTCTACATCTCTAGAATTTGCCCTGTGCTATAAAGAAAAGGTAAAACATGGAACCTCTATCATCCAGGGCCTCCCTGGTGGTCTAGGGGTTAAATCACAGAGCTATCACTGGTCCCCAGCTTTGATCCCCAGCCAGGTAACTAACTCAAATGGTGCAGCAGACCTCTTCTGTCTCATATATTTCAGTGAATCTGACTGTTCTGCTCCCCATTCTGTCTCTGGGGAATCCTTTGATACCCTGCAGCCACAAACCTCTGGCCTATATCCTAGTTCTTCTATGAGATAGATAGATTAGATAGATTAGATAGATAGATAGATAGATAGATAGATAGATAGATAGATAGATAGATAGATAGATCTCTATAGTCCACACAAAGTAAAGTTGAAAAGACTGAGATAACAATATTATAAATACAACAGTGGAATTTTAAGTTAGGTGCATATACAAGGTGCTAAGAGGAATACATATGCACAGTAGTATATATATCAGAATTTAGTAAGTGAATAATGGTCACACCTGTTTGTGGACTTTCCCATCACTGAATTCTGTGCATACTGAGGAGCAGGTATACAGTCATTTGAGTTTCATTGGGAAAAAGGGTATTATTGTCAATAATTTGCCCAAGTCACTTTCTCCTAGATACATAATTTGAAATTATTTCAATTGCTTGGGTAGTAATGTACACTTTAAACAATTGAGATATCAAAATGCAATCTCTGTGTTGAGTGATGTGAATAAAAACCACCCACTGATAAGGATTTTACAAGTAGTAAGAAGCTAATTTCCCATTTATTGGTCATTTACTGATTTGCAATATTTTTATGAGAATTTAAACTTGAAAAATTGAGTTATTGAAAAATAAGACTGTCCAATGAAGTAGTAATTTGCTTTAAAAATTTACATTTGCTTTAAAAGCCTACAAATATCATAGAAAGGTTCTCCTTTAACTGTGGTGATGGTACATGGGTGAATTGGTAGTGGGAACTCCTTGGGGACTATATACAAGATGATAAAGAATATATTATATGAAAATGAAGAATGTTGTAAAAATACATATAAGTAAATTATAATAATAAAAAAATAAAAAGAATTTCCTTTTGATTAACTTCTCTTACAAACGCTGTTTGGGAAATTGTATATGGCCATAATTTGAAAAGGGATCTGTTTTATATTTATTCCAAAAGCTATCTTATAATGATCTATCTATAAAATGCCTAAGAATATTAGTGATGAACTGTCAGAATACAAGTATTTGCAAAATAGGCCTTTTGCAAGGAGCACCTGATGTTAAAGGAAATCATGTTCTGAAACTGAACATATTAATTTGAAATTTAAAGCTTAGATTCCATGAAAATTTAAAAGACTAGTTACAGGCTTTTTCTCTGGATGTATTTAAATTTAGTCATAGTCTGTATACAACATTTAACTTGGGACTTGGGAAAATATATAGTCTCCCACTGTTGAAGAATCTTTCTAGAGGGTTTAAATTACTTTTACAGAATTGTAAGCAAAAAGAAATGGGATTGTATGCTAAATAATAGATGATTTCATTTAAGCTAGAAAATTTCAAATTTGTTTTAAAAAATCAAATCTTTATGAAAACTGTAAGCGGTACTAATTAAACTCTTACTGAAAATAACTTTTGGAGAGGTTCCTCTTCATTAGCATTGACACTGTCTTGGTTTAAAGCGCCATGATGGAGGAAGAGCTATCAGGATTCCTATCCTCTTTGGCCTTTTAATTCCACCCTCAGGAAATTATTCCAAGGAAACAATTCATTAGTCATGAAAATCTTATTGTAACATTGTCCATCATAGCAAAACATTAAACTACTTAATCAGCCTCAATAAACGAGATTGGTTTACTAGATTGTGGTACATTAGCAAAATGTAATATTGTGTAGCCATTAAAGTATGAGCTAGGAAAATGTGATTGCTCTGACTCAGAGATCCAACACAGTATGATTGCATTATATTTTAAATATCTGGAATTTTATGCATAAAAATAAAAATGTTTGATTATGTTCAATTTCATGTTATTATGAATTGTTAATGTCGTAATGCCTGTTCAATAGAAAATAACATGCTTTTTCTATCTTGTGAAATATATCAATCACAAAATTATGAAACAGGCACAGGATTTGGGAGGAAAGGTAAAACAGAAATTGGAATATTTGTCTTATTAATAAGAAGAACATGTTACTTTTATTTTTAAGAATTACATGGATTATTTATCACGACTGTATGAGAGAGAAATTAAAGATTTCTTTGAAGTTGCAAAGATCAAGATGACTGGCACTACTAAAGAAAGCAAGAAGTTTGGTAAGCTTACGCACCTCAGTTCTTGTTTGCTATTAAATGGTTTTATTTATGATATTTCCAAGACTCTTTCAGCAAGGTGGAAGAAGATACCAAAGAATTATTGAAAGTAAGCCTTATGTATTGGTTTGGTTTAATAGGTATTTCTTAGAATAAATATTTATATGTAAGTATAGTTTTTATTATTTAGAATTGTGGTGTGTGAATCTGACAGCAATTGTATATTTATGCTATAATTAAAAGCAGTTGGTCAGAAAATAAGTGCAGCCTGATAAGAGTGTTAGGCTAAGGAACACATGTTGAGGGTTCAGTACCTGACATTCTAAAAGGCCTTTATTGTAGCTGAGATCAAGCCACTGATCTAAGACATTGCTTTCTACAGGGAAATGAAAATGATTCCTGGCTTCTTACTTCACTGGCTATTTTGATTTAAAAAAAAAGTTCACAAATATTTTCTCCCCTGCCAAGGGACTATAAAAATATTACCAAAATTTCTCCTGTAATTACATGTTGTTACCCCAAAACATGTTAAAGGGTCAAAACCTGATTTGAAAGGATAGCCAGTGAAAGTATCAAGTTGTGAGGAAGATGGTTTGCTGAGGCCACATTCTGTTCCTGCATGTACCCATCTCTGGATTTCCTTTTGGATGGAGTTCTGTGCCTATTCAAGTCAAAACCTGGCCTTAAATGGCTAAAATGTGTATTCTTCAGTGTGTCTGCATAGTTCCCCTTTAGAATCATGAGTTTAGCATTTGCTTGTTGAAAGGAGCCTATGCCCTAAGTAACTTCAATAAGAAATCAGGGTTGAAAATTGATAGCATATCTTTTCATTCTTGAGTACAAAGAAAACTGTCTTGAGTTATTAATTATTTTGCACATCATTGGTAGTGTTGTTTTTCTAATGCAGCACTGGATTATATTAGTCTATTTCTGAAACGGTTCTAATCTGTGTGTGAATATATTACACTTAGGTAATGATACTAGTGAAAATCTTGGGGCAATAGGCTTTTGGAAACAGAAATGCTAACTCATCCTAAAGGTTGATTGTTTTCAAACAGCAGTGTGTTTATATTCTTGTTAATGTTTCACTGTGGGTATGTTATGCTTTTTTTGAGTAAATAGCATACTATTAATGCAGTTACATGTTTAATGTTTTCATTAAGTATATTTGTCACCACTTGTTAGTGAACCATTTCAAGAGAACTCTACAATTTATGAAAACTGGAGGTAAAAGAGCAAACTTTCTAAAATTGTCTCCTCAGAAAGTCATTAATCCCAGTATCATAATAGTTTATCAAGCCTAAGATTCACAGAGATAAATAGCATAATAATAGTATAATTTAAATCAAGTACAGTAGTGTCTCAATGATGTTGTTGCACTAACCTGAGGTCCAAATTTCCCCTCCTCTGACTTTTTTTTGAAAAGTTCTTAAATTCTTATTATCTAAAACATTTTAAAATTAACCTAATACATAATTAGAAGGCTCTTATATCATTTAAAACATTGTTAAAACAGTCCTTTTATGTATCTGTTAAATAATAAGGCATAGGAGGGTAATTTGTGATGGTTGATGGCACCAGAAAATAACAGTTTCAGTTTCTACATTATCAGTTATAAAGGCAGAAGAGCTAAATAATGCAGAGAATTTAAAGGATAAAAACTGTGGTTTATCTTTGAAGAGTAACCTATAGTCAGCATTTAAAAATAAATTACAAGTGACTTAAGTTTTAAATAAGTAAGGCTTTTTTTTGAAAAGATATTTTTTCATTGATTCAAATTATGCTTAAATTAATTTTAATAGTTATTATAAATTAAAACCTGAAATTTGAGAAAGATAACTTCTCAATGAATCAAAATTAAGTAATTATAAATAAAACTTCATGTTTTTTACTGGCTCTGAAAATTTTGGTTTATAGAGGTTAATTAGAAAGTATTTTATAAAAAATTGTGTAGGTGGTAGAATCACAGTAAATTTAGGGGAATAATCTCTCTTGAACCACTCTTGACTCTTTAACAGATACTTAGTCCAAGTAATTCAAAATAATGTTAAATATGCCAGGAAAATCTCTTCTTTGAAATATAGGTCCTTGCCTTTTTTGATTAATATGTTTACTTTGATATCCTCAGGAATATGGAATTTTCTCCTCCACAGTTGATATTTTGGTAATTTTTTTCTCTTTGTAGTCTATAAATGTACTTAACGAAGTGACAGAGAAATTTAATAATTATTTTTAAAATCACTATTTTTTTCTTTCTATGTTTAAAATAACACAAATACATATGTTATTGCAGTCCATTACAAATGCAGTTAGATAATTATCGCCTCCCTTATATTTAATATTCCAAATTCCTTAATTTATGTCAAAATCTTTTTTTTTTCCACTAAACTAGGAGAACTTATTGATTGAACAGGGAATCTTGAATATAAGACTGAGTTTAGCACTGACTGGAGATTAAATCAATAAATATTTATCAGTTATCTATTATAAGCATTGCTGGTGCTGAGACTGCAGTAATGAACAAAGACCCTTGTAATGGGATACTTACAGACAGTTAAAGCTTTACCGGAATATCATTTTTGTTGCTGATAAATGATAAACTTTTCATGGACTCCAGTTATAATTAATAGGCACAAGTAATAACTGTATTTTTACTATTAAAAAAATAAAAGAAATATTAGGCATTGTTATGAAACTGATGAACAGCGTGACCTTCGTAGCTACCAGGAGATACCATCCAGACTGGGAGTCTGGAACCTGGGGATCTGGTCTGTAATTGTCACTCCAATGTCCAGCCTTATTGTTTCCTGTTCTGTAGAGCTTCTGGGAGCCTAGGCTGGGAAGACAGACATTTATTGATGTGACAAGTGGTAGCTTATACTTGGGCTTGAACTTTCATCTATGGCAAGGCTAGCGACAGCTGGCACATTGTTCTCAGTTTTCATACTGTTAGGTTTTATTCTTTAGTTTTCTGTTTCATTCTATATTTTATTTCTTTGTTTTTCACATTAACTTCTAATTCAGTTCAGAATGTTTCACAAAATGAGCTCTACAATTGCTCTAATGTATCATGTAGTTCTAGGATAAAAGAAATGTCAAATGACCCTTAAAAGCCTCAAACTCCTCTATTAAACTTGTCCCAGCAGCTTTACTCTTCCTCCATCTCCTGATAATTAGTGTTATTATGGTAGATATTTTTCCTTTTAGATGTTCACAAAACCTTTTACTAAGCAGTTCCACTTGATATTTTGAAATGTTCTTAAAGCCCTATTCATATATATATATATATATATATATATATTTATTTATCAGATATAGTATAGAATCGTTTAGTGCAGTGGTGATTCCCACGAGCTTTCAGGGAATACACGATTATTGACATATTTAATGTCTAAATCTACAACTTCATTCTAATAAATTCCCACTGTGTTAAATTATTTACTTGAACTATGTCTTTCAGAAACTAAAATTTGCAATCTGTTAAATTTAAATATACAGCTTAAAATACTGTTTAAAGAGTAATTTAAAAAGTATGGAGGGGGTTACAAATATATTTTTACTTGAATATTTGAGTAAAAAACTATACATTAAAAGACTTAAAGTTTTTTCTCATCATATTTCAAAAGTAGCTCACCAACTAAACATGTGTTTGCACCTCTCGTTACTTGATGCTCATGGTTCTTTGCATGTGTCTTTTAAACTAGAGCTTTAACTTCCTCTTGTGCATGGTTTGTGCAAATTGCAGTTTATTAACTTGTCTTTGTCTTTGATGCTTGCAACCTAATCCATCACAGCTACACTGCCTCGAAAAGAGAGTGCTGTCAAACAGGAAACAGAGAGTGAGTATGCTTAGTGTATTAGTAGGTATTCTCAATGCATGTCCGTTTAATGTCTAGAAATTTGTTGTTTGTCTTGAAAAAAAGTTACACCAAAAATATTGTTTGGTCTGAGTAGCCAGGTATTGGTGAAAGAAAACCAACATGATAGCATTGGTATGGCCACATCCAAGAAATATATATACATACACATAGTTTATATCATATGGCAGATGGTAAAACTTTTCATTGAAAACTTATGAAAGGCTTAACCATTCTACTTTTGTTTTCAGGCTGTGTTTAGAAACTATAAATATCTTAGAGATGTGGTCAGATATTTCATAAAGAAGCCTTTTATCTCTTCATTTGCCCCTTCTGATCATAAGCAAATACTGTTATATGTTAACTGAGACATATTCAAGAAGAATTTTTTAAAGTATTACTTAATTTGAATGTTGAGAAAAACATCCTATTTCTTGTAAAAATTGAATCCTTTAGTTCCTTGATGTGTGGAGGATATTATTCAGCCATGTTGTTCTTATTTTTCCTCATAGCTATGATGGATACCAAAGATTATACCAAAACATAAATGTTTTTCATATTAAAGTGATTAAAATTGTATCATATTTTAATTGTATTTTAAAAATACCAAGTTTTCAGGGTGATTTTTTTTGTCTTGTTTAGCTATAAACTGTTCAATTACTGTAAAAGTAGAGTTTCTGTATTAAGTTGAATCATATGTAATTGACTTTTTTTATAGGACAAGAATGACCGAGTGTGGCAGTTTCATGTGGTTCAACCTAATGTATTGATTTAAGGAGCACCAAGTAATACTGCGATATAACAGTTTTTTAAGTCATTTAGAGAGTACACTAGTAGGGGTTACTAACCTGCATCCATACTCAAGTCTTTTGAAAGGGAAAGAAATTCTCATCCACTTCAGTTTAGAGAGATCATGTTGCTGATGATCTTTATGGTTCCTCTCTATCCTATTCTATGGGTTCTCAGAAATAGGATGCAAATACTGTCCCTGTGGTAGGTGTGTTCACTAATGTGAGCTCTAGCAGACAGTGGGAGATAACCCTGACTTGTGCTGTAGCTCTTTAATTTATGCAGGTCACAACTTTCAAAGTGTCATTATTTCTTAGGTCTTCATGGAAGCTCTGGGAAATTAACTGGATCAACTTCTAGTCTAAATAAACTCAGTGTTCAGAGTTCAGGGAATCGTAGATCCCAGTCATCTTCCTTGTTGGATATGGGAAACATGTCGGCTTCTGATCTGGATGTGGCTGACAGAACCAAATTTGACAAGGTAAAATAAAATAATGAGTAATTCTTAAACATGAATAGTAGTTTTCTAACAGAAGTTTATTGTTGCTTGAAGTGTTTTCGTTCATTTAGGATCTGTTGGCTCTCCTAAATATTAATAGTGTGTAACTTTCCAGTTCTGAATCTGAAAATAATACTAGTCACATGGCAACTAAAATGTAAAGAATTAAGTAACAGAACCACTTTATTAAAATTTATTACAAATCATAAAGGTCTTGTATCTTAGAGTTCTTAAAACAACTACAAAGTATAGAAGTCACAACAGCTTTTATGAAGCCAGCTATTTTCTACAAAGCATTAAGTAAATTTTTAAAATTTATGTATGGTTCAAGCTCCTCTTTCTAGATTTGAAGTGAATAATTGGTGTGATTTTATTTTGGGTATGTTCTGGCCCTGTTATACCCTGGTAATAATGGATTGCCCTGTCAATCATAGATTTTGTCCTTGGGGTTTATTGAAATTATCTATGATCCCTGCAGCAAAGTTAATTAAATGTGGAATGTTATTTTAAGCAGTTTTTTCATTATAGGATCATTTTGGTTTTCTTCAGATATTTGAACAGGTACTGAGTGAACTGGAGCCCTTATGTCTGGCAGAACAAGACTTCATAAGTAAATTTTTCAAACTACAGCAACATCAAAGTATGCCTGGAAACATGGTATGGTTTCTGTTTATTTATTTGTTGGTATTTATGATTTCTAGCATAATTAACCTAATTGATATGTTGTCACAATTTCAGTAGTAGGACAGGAAAAGGAAACAATTTACAAGGTAAGAATTTTTTAAATAATTTTTCATACCACAGTGTAATAAAAACAGTGATAGAGTTTGAGTATAATTTAACACTTATATCTTAGGCCTAAATAGTCTCTAAATTTGTAAGGGAGAGAAAAACACCTGCATTTACTTTGAAAAAAAATTTTAAAGCATTTTTAACATTTGAGTCATTATCAAGAAAAAAACACAGTTTTCAAAAAAGAAAGATGTTTAAGTGTATACTTTATGGCCACACACACAAAAAGGTGAGACCTCAGGTCTGAATCTTTTTAATGACTTTGTTACTAACTACTATGGGACCTTAACTCAATGCTTTTCCTCATCTATAAAATGTATACAATAATGCCTGTTCCACATGTCTCTAGGGTGGCATAATGTAAGAAGATAAAATAAGATTTGCTGAAGTATTTTGAAGAATTAAGCATAATACAAATAGAATGGCTTTTAAATTAAGGTCATCTCAAAAAATTAAGCCTCAAAGAACCAACATACAGAAAGTGGTCATAAAATGAATGAAAAATTATTTCAAATAGTTGGGGACATAGCAGTGGTGCTTGTGGTAAATTTACTTGTTGGTTATATAAAAATTCTTGATAACATAACTCTTAAATGCTGAAGTTGTATTAAAAAGTGGTTGATGAGATTTGTTTCAATTTTGAAGTCCTCTTGTAGGTTGTTTCTAGATGTTTTCTATTTTTTGTTGAACTCTCCTCCAACCCCACCCTCTCCTGAGACTTCTGCCCTCTCCTTCCCTCGTGTGCACACACACAAGCACAACTTCTCATCCCACAGTAAAATCTAAGAAAAAGTCTTGAATGAACAGCTTAAAGAGTCTATACCAAATTGTATAGATTTATAGGTAGGACTGCCTTTACAAATCATTATTTTTTCATAATGTATTCTCTCCTAGGAATTATAAGATTGGGCAGGCTTTTGTTATATAAACTAGTCAAATTGTTGGTCTTTTATTATTAAAGTACTTGAATGATTTTTGCAGACTGAAGCAGAGGAACTAGATGGAGGCATGTTTTCACGGCAACATAATGCTGGTGCACCACTGCCTGTTTCATCTGAGTATGTTGGTTATCTTCTATTTTTGACTTTTTTTTTTTAATAATAGAATAGTTTGTTTTTATATCATTTTGTGCCTTTTTCCATCTCAGTTGTAATCCCATGGGCTTCCCATCACCATGTCACCTGTGTGCCATCCGAGTATGTTGGTTACATTCTCTATTGTTGATCTTAAAAAAAAAAAAAAACACTTTAATGCAGTATAGAGGAGTGCTTGCCAATAAGAGTCCAGATGACTATCAGTAACCTGAAGCTCTCAGCTCTGGCCAAGTCCATTGAGTTTTGGAATATGATATGGTTTTAAAATGGGTTTTATTTATGATCTGAAGTTCTTTGTTCATGGAATTTGTGGCAAATTTTGGTGTTTGCTAGTAGGAAGCATCATTTGAGTTGCAGTATATCTCTCAGAAGTCACAAAGCACATTTCAACACCCACCTTTACAAATGACAGTTATTTTGAAATGTCAAAAAATATTTTTATTGAAAACTATTATAGTTCATGATATTTGGGCATTTTTTAACTGAAATTAAACCTTAGTCATTTTGTATACAGTCAAGGGATTAAAGTTAAAGCTGAATACACCTGAAGCATATAACTTTCTATGTATTTTTTTTGAACAGGAAAGATATGATCCGCCAAATGATGATTAAAATATTTCGCTGCATTGAGCCAGAACTTAACAACCTAATTGCATTAGGAGACAAAATTGACAGCTTTAACTCCCTTTACATGCTAGTCAAAATGAGTCATCATGTGTGGACTGCTCAAAATGTGGACCCTGCTTCTTTTCTAAGTACTACATTAGGAAATGTGTTGGTGACTGTCAAAAGGAACTTTGACAAATGCATTGTAAGTTTTTTTTTTAAGTAACTCAGAATTTAATCATTATAAAAAAGAAATAGGTAAACTTATTTAAATCAAAAGATTTCCAACTTTCCTTTGGGGATCTATTGTTCACATCCACCAAAGTCTTGAAGCAAGGTGTTGGTTACAACATATGTGGAACTGTGTTTGTTGAACAGCACTGTGCTGATTAGTTTCTCTTCTGATCTATTTCTTTCCAAGTTTTGTGGTAGGTGGCATAGTTAGCAGCTGCCTAAGAGATCCACTGAGTAGCTGAAATTCAGTTTACTGATGTGTAACAATGGATTTAATGAAAACTATTGTTTGAATTCATTACTATTTTCTTTCTTTACCACATTCAGATAAGAAAATTACTAATTGCATTTATTTTAACTGATAGTTAAATTACTTATTATTTTAATAGCTTTAATCATATTATTTAAAAAATTGCTTTTATAGTACCATCTAACATCATCATTTTTCTCTTTCTGGTAGGGAAGAAGTCACTAATAAATTTATTGCCTGTAGATTTTGATAAGCTCATACATATACATAAAGCTGAACCATGTCTTTTTAGATAAAGGTTCTTTATTAATGTATTTATTTATTTATTTTTCATTTTTCTCTGATATCCTAACAACAGTGCAACTAAGTATTTGTACTAATGGGTATGTGTCATTTGACTATTTCTGCTACATAACCTTAAATTATATCCAGCCCTTAAATGTCCTCAGCATAGGAGATAAAAAGAATAAGAGCGATTAAAACCTGTATCTTTTTTTTTTTCAGCTTAAACAAATGATATTTATTGAGTTTTTAAAAGCATAAGAGCAGTCTATGTCCTCTGTAGAAATTTAAGTTATCACCTTAATAGGCGTGGTATTCCTCCTTCCATACCAAATGATCTTATTTGGTGTTTGAAATACTATAAAATTTTAAGTCTATCCTCATCCTTCCCCTTCTGCAGAGGTGGTAATTAACCTGAAAGGTCTGATAGCAAACTAATAGTTGAAAGGAAAAGGAAGAGCTACCAAAGGTTGAGATGAGTTTCACAGGGACACTACTTTTGTAACAGGAAGACTTTCTTGTAAATGTTATGAAATAGCTTTCAACCCAATCAAACATAATTGTTAAAGGCATAGGTGTAATATCAGGTAGAGGTAGATATGGGTTCAAACAAAGTGCTTAAGCACATTGCTTAGCACAGAGTAAGAGCCTATTGGGATAGTATAGTCACTAGACCATTGGTGATGGATATATGTAGTGTGTACATTTGTTAAAGTTGTGAAACTGTACTCCTGAAATTTACACAATGTTGTAAGTCAGTGTTACCTCAATTTAAGAAATTTCTATTTCATTTAAAGAAAAAAAATGCATTTATTAACTCACAGCTCGTAAGGTGGTGGTGGTGGTAATAGCAGTAGTAGGGAAGAGTGCTATATTACTAGGTGATAATGATACTGTATAGTAATTAATAATAGCTTATTAAAGAATGTTGGTACTCTAAAGACCAGGCAGTATAAATATAAGGTAGAATTAACCCAGACAGTTACAAACTCTCATCTCCCCAGGCCAATAAAAAGTGGCAGAGTTGGCATTTATACCCAGACAGTGTGGTTCCAGCATCCGCAGTCTACCCTACCTTCTCTACTGCATCCTCTTTTCCTCCTCACAGTGATCAATACCGATGAAGTGGAGTAGTAGTAAAGATAAGATGAAGTGGCTGATAGTGCTCACAGAGCTTTAAAATACTAGTGCCTGTAGCCTAAAAGCAGTTTATTTTATAATCCATATGCCGTGGTTTCAAGTTAATACTCTCAAAATCTCAATGCGAGGAAATTTTAGTAAAAGCTAAGAAATCGTCCAACAATATTTGGCAGTATAATTCTCACTATGACTAGAGCTAAATCCCCAAGAAGTACACAGGACCATAATTGAACCCATTGGATCTTTCTGAACCTTGCTGTCCGGATTCTGTCTATATGAAATAGGTCTTTTACACTTTGTCACTATCCTACATAAGTACTGTGTTAAACCAGTATAGAATTACTAATAGGTACATAGAAAACTATATAATGCAAATCCATAGTAGAAATGCCTATCCTGACCATCTTCTGTCATCTCACTTCCCCAAAAAATTCAGAATTTATCCAAGCAAGTTTTAGGCTGCTGAAAATTGAAAATACTTATTGTTCCCAGCACATGGTCACCAGCCAAAAATAACCCAGAGAGATCCTGTGTGCACTGTGGTATCTGCCCTGTCCAGATGGGCAATTGCCTTATCTTTCATAAATGATAGAAATGTTTATTTTTTTTATTTTGAATGAAGACTTGAGACATCTTGTTTTAAATAATTTGGATTCTTTTCCTTATCATTCCTTAACATTATATTCTTAAATAAAATAGATGTACTTTTTAAAAAAATAGATGTACTTTTTAAAAAAATAGATGTACTTTTTAACCTATAGAAAGTTATTCTTAGTTACCCCAATGGTATTCATCTTTATTAGTAAGCATCCAAGATGTTACAGCTAATGAATTATGTCCTGTTTCTGCATTGTGTATATTGGTTATAATTATAAGCTGTGTCTGAATTGCTTGACTGCCTCTCACTTTTGCCTAACCTAGAGTAACCAAATAAGGCAAATGGAAGAAGTAAAGATCTCAAAGAAGAGTAAAGTAGGAATTCTTCCATTTGTTGCTGAATTTGAAGAATTTGCTGGACTCGCAGAATCAATCTTTAAAAATGCTGAGCGTCGTGGAGATCTGGATAAAGCTTACACAAAGCTAATCAGAGGAGTATTTGTTAATGGTAAGCTTTTCTAAAAAATGTTTGGTTACTTGTTTTCATTATTTTTTGGTAATTCAGAAGTTGAAGGGACAGGTATATTCAATTATTTTCCATATTCTGTAATTGTGTTTAAATTTTCTGAAATTAAAGAATTCTTGAATTTGAAAAAGCAAAAAGTACATAAAACCCATTCGTATTTATCAAGAATCATTGACATTTTAGGGTCCATGTGGACTTATAACTCTGCAAAATTGAAACAGTTTTTTAAACACAAAAAAATAATACCCTGGACTATATTTGCATTGTAGTTAGAATCTTCTGGAGATGATAAGCAGTAACATCTGTTTAAAAAGGTTAAGTGATTACAGTATTTTTTAAAATTGGCTTTATTTTCCTTTGTAGTTATGATGGTAGTCATTTATTTATCTACCTTTTAAATACTAAAGCAATTTAGAATTTGTTTGCCTGAAAAATGTGGAAATAGTATTCCTAATTTTGTGTATTCAAAAGGAAATAGCTGGTTGTCTTAATGCATTTTGAGTAATTCATCATTTTCCCACTGATTTGAAAAGCCATCTTTATTATATATTGTTTCCATATGTACATGGACATTTTATTAGGTTTTAGTAGATGTGAAGAACCTTCAGTACACTGTATTCTTATTAAGCCCAGAATTGTTTTTACTTCTTAAACTTACAAATGAAAACAATCAATCCTGTAACTATTTTCATAGCAAAAGATAGCCATACTCATACCAGGATTTTATTAAATTATTCCTGTTTTGATTTTAGTGGAGAAAGTAGCAAATGAAAGCCAGAAGACCCCCAGGGATGTTGTTATGATGGAAAACTTTCACCATATTTTTGCAACACTTTCTCGTTTGAAAATCTCATGTCTGGAAGCTGAAAAAAAAGAAGCCAAGCAAAAATACACAGATCATCTTCAGTCTTATGTCATTTACTCTTTAGGACAACCTCTTGAAAAATTAAATGTAAGTATGTTTTCATTCACTGTTTTTTTCCTAGTTTTAAACTAGTATACGTCTATGTACATATGAGTAACAGCATCTTAAATCTGCACATATATTGACTGAGGAGGATAAGGAAGGAGTGAAACTCAGTTATTGAAGCTGCCAGTGTGCCAAGACATACAAGATACTCTCCATATATTAACTTCGTTTAATTTTATAAACAATGAAGAAACTGAAAGTAAATAAATGTGATTGAAATTGTAGCAGCCACTCCAGAGCATAGCTGAGCGGATGGTGTAAAGGGCCTTTTTCTTTTCCGTTATACCAGTCTTCTCTCTCTAGACCTCGTAATGGCCAGCCTTCACCCCAAGTTCAGATATTAACTTCAAAAGATTTTTTAAGATCAAAGGAAGACCAAAAATTGTTTTGTTGTTTGCCTTTTCTTTTCTCTTTCTGTCTTGATTTGAGTCATTCCCCAGAATAAGTATGATCTTTAAGAAATGATCTTTAGAGAACTTTGTAATATAGTGGAAGCTTAAGTGGTTCCTTTTTACTGACTTTGTTTACAGTGAAATTAGTGTCTTTCATAGGTTTTTAACTTAAAATTACTGTCATATAAAAAGTATGTATCGTTCGCAACAATTTGAAGAAACACTTAAAAACATTTAATGAAACACAGAATCAATTCCTCATAAAACATAAAAACAGATATTCCTTTAAGGTTAAAAAAAGGTTTCAGAAGATACTTGATTGCAATATCAGAGGCATTTCCTTTGAAGTCAAATTTAACACAGAAACATTGTTGTTGTTTTTTTCTTTATTATTTAGCAGTGTTATAGACACTTTAGGCAGTGCAATAAGATGTGAATCATAAGAGATACAGAGTCAAGATTATAGTTACCTGGAATGGACATTTGGCAGGGTGGTGTGATAGGAAGATTGCAATTACTGAGATGAGAAATTACACCTGAAACCTATACAGTGCTGTAAACTAATGTTGCCTCAATTAAAAAGGAAGGGGGAAAAAACCCTAACTGTAAAAAAAATTAAGGAAAAATATTATTGCATATGATATGTTGAAAGTATCGGTCTCTGATAAAATAGCAAGCTTCATAGTAAATATACCAAAAATACCAGTTTATTTCTTGTCTGTCAGCTATAACCAGTTAAAAACTTAGGTAGAAATAAAAACTTAAAAGCAGCAAGAACAGAATGAGCAAAAATTCATTATCAAAAAACTAATAATTTAACAAAAAATAAATACATAATTGCTTTGAGAGTTTCTAGTGAAAAGGTATTTGTCTTATCAGTATTAAACCACATAGTATGATGTTGACATAAAGGCATGCTAGTCAATGAAACTGCACATTAAAAAGACAAGTATACGGAAAGGACAACTGAAAAGCTTTGTAATAATACAGCAAAGGCAAGTATGTTTCTATAAAAGGTTTTAAGTTAGTGAAAAAAGATTTAAGATCCCCGTATATAAATGGACAAACATCCTGAGTGCACTACTGAGCATAAGAAAGCAGGTTAACATCAGCCAAAGAATTGTGAACTAAAACAACAAGTAAACATTTTTCACTGATCAAATTAGTAACAATTTTTCTATAGTTGAGATAAGGCTATTGATGATATGGTAAGTCTGATAGGACTGTTGACAGAAATATAAATTGAACTTTCCTGGGAAGCAATCTGTAGATACGAAAAATCTTTAGGATACCTAAGATTCTTAGGAATTACAGTCCTAGAAATTTATGTTAAAAAATAATATGTGGTAAATACTTACATATAAAAGATATTTATGGCAACTGTATTTGTAATAGATGCTCTTAGTAGATTTTACCAACAATGAAAAAAGTGAAAATATTAACTATCTAATATTGAAGGAATGAGTAAATTCATTGACACAGTCATAGAACAGAATATTATGCAGCACTAAAATTTATACATAGGAGAAATTTATATATAGGAGAAATTTATATTAAATGGAAACTACACTAAAAATGTAAAATTATACTTCATTTATATATTTACACATCAAAAGTAAAGAGAAATTGAAAATGTTAACAGTGGATGTCTAAGTGATATGATATAGGTGATATGTTATCCTTTATGCTATTACACACTGTCTTGTTTTCACACAGTAAATACTTAATTTTTTATATTCAGATTTTTAATAATTTAGTGATAATAAAAGCAAGTCTTAGACATTATTTCTTATCATTTCCTTAAAGCATTTCTTTGAAGGTGTTGAAGCACGTGTAGCCCAGGGTATAAGAGAGGAAGAAGTAAGCTATCAACTTGCATTTAACAAGCAAGAACTTCGTAAAGTTATTAAAGAATATCCTGGAAAGGAAGTGAAAAAAGGTTTAGATAACCTCTACAAGAAGGTTGATAAACATTTATGTGAAGAGGAGAACTTACTTCAGGTATGCTTAATTCTTGAATTCTTGTAGCTATCCTAGCTTCAACATCCTCACATTACTTTTCTCTAAAAAGTTTCTCAAGAAATAGGCTACAGGTTTCCCAATTTTATTGCATTAGGAAAGTCCAGAGAGATCAGATTTCTGAATTACCGGGGGGGGGGGGGATTAATGTTTATATGCCTTTTCTCGATTATATTTCTACTTTATTGTTTGAGATACTAAGTTTTTCTTTTGTCTCGGGATGTATTTTGTTGGTGTTTTATTTGCTTGTTTATTAGATTTGAGGGAAATAAGGAAGTGGGGTATAGTTATAGTATATGTAATGGTTCTGAGCTCGGCGGCTGGAGCTAGAAATGGGTTTGTACTCTGGCTGCAGATTAAGGTACGTGACTTTAGAGTTTAGACAAGTTATTTTACCTCTCTGACCCTCAACTTCCCTACCTGGAAAGTAGAAATAACACCCTTCTTGTTTAATGAGCACTACTATTACTGTCATTATTTTACACAGATGAAAAAAATAAAAGCTTAGAGAGGTGGAATACCTTGACCAAGACTGCATAGTGAATGGTAGAGGCAGATTCAAGCCCCAAGTTGCCTCATTATTCCCCACCATTCAACACAAACCATACTGAAAGACCCATCGATAGATGAGAAAAATTCCACTTTCATCATGGAAGACTTCATGAGAGATACTGCATTTGTGTTAAAATGTAATGAGCATTTATTGCAACAAATGCAGTTGTAACCACTTTAATACATTGATTCACTTAATCTTCACAAGAAATTTATGAGGAATGTTTATTGCATGAGGGACACTTAAGAGGAATTGAAGCACAGAGTAGTGATGTAACATACCAGCAATCACAAGTAAAAGGAGTTAGGAGTCCTCTTAAGTCAAATGTTTATTCTTAACTACCCACCCATGCTAATTCTTAGATTAAATCTTAACATGTTTCTACATACTTAATTATGTGTGTTATTTCCTTCCATAATTTACAACTTTTATTTTCATTTTTATAATAGGTAGTGTGGCATTCCATGCAGGATGAATTTATACGCCAGTACAAGCACTTTGAAGGTTTGATAGCTCGCTGTTATCCCGGATCTGGTGTTACAATGGAATTCACCATTCAAGATATCCTGGATTATTTCTCCAGCATTGCACAGTCCCACTAAACCTTATGAAATAAGAAAAAAATGATAGCTGAGAAAAGCACTCCTAAGTACACTTATACTAGACGTTATTAAAAAATATCAAGCAACTGTTTAAGAAACCATACTTGAAATTTTATTGTATTAAGTGTCAGATAAGTGGGTGGTAATATATTACAAATATTCAAGAGCAAAAGTACCAACCTGCGTAGCAATTTTATTTGCCTAATAGGTTGTGTACTAACTTAAAAGCACTTAATGCAGAATGCCTTTAGCATTTTTCTATGACTACACAAAATTTTCCTTTATTGCCTAACTTCTTGTATTTAAGAGTGGTTATCTTAAGTGTGATGCAGTAGGATTTCTTCAACTTTCACTAATTCAGTATTTCTTACAAATCATGTAACCACTATAATATTGTACAGAATTTTTTCTTTTTAATGTGTATGTGGGTAACTTGCAATGATCAGTTATAAACTTTGATTTTAAGGACTATGTGACTATGTAGCAATGAATCTGAAGTAAAGAAATTTTCAAAGAAATTGAAATTTAATGTTATTTTTAGATCTGTGATATGTGATCTTTTAAAAATAAAAGCAAGTTCTTACAAATGTCAGTATACAAATATTAACTACATGTCTATTTATCATAAAGCATTTAAAAATATAAGAAAAATAAAACCATTTAATATTAATATCTAGACTAAATCCAACAAACATACATTGGACTGAATTGTATCCCCCTAAATTCATATGTGGAAGCTCTGACGGCCCCCTGCCTCATGACTATTAGAGATGGTGTCTCTCAGTGGGTTGTTAAATGAGGTCATAAGGGTAGAACCCTGATCCAATAGAACTGGTTCCCTTAGAAAAGACACACCAGTTCTTAGAAAAAACAGCCATCAGCAAGTCAGGAAGACTTGTTACCAGATCTGTTACCAGAACCCAGCCATGCCCTGAGCTCAGACTTCTGGCCTCAGAACTGTAAAAAATTAAAGTTGTTTAAACCATTCAGTCTGGTATTTTCTTATGGCAGTCTGAGCTGTCTAATGTAAAATATGTAAGATCTTTTGTGGAGACAATTATATAGACAGTTAAAAAGCTATTAAAAGATACTACGGAGGCCTAAGTAAGTAGAATGTTTTGTGTTTCCAAATAACATAGTAGGATTGACAGTTATTTCTAAAATTAAAGACTGCATACTTCCCAGTTTTCAGTAAGGCACATGACAAGATTGGAAGTCTCCATCTCAACACCAGATGAAAAGCTGTTCGAACTGAAAAACCCAACTCTTCTTGGATGTGTAAGAGAAGTGAAGTGATAAGGTAAACATTACCTGGAGAGACTGACAAGAGAATATGGACAGCTTGCCAACACAGAAATTCACATGCTGAAGTCTCCACAGGAAACAGAGAGTAGTGAAAAGTACCCACAGTGCTATATATGAGACAAAAACAACTGCAAGGAGGATTTACTATAATAGTGGATTCATCACACCTATCAGAAATGAACAAATCCAGCAGGCAGAAAATCAATAACAATTGAACTACACTCCATCAGCCACTGAGTATAAGAGACCTCTCCAGACTCTCTCATCTAAGGTTGACAGCAAATTGGTTCACCCTTCATGCACAGACCAGACTATGACACCAGGATCTTTGAGAAGATAGAGAAGCTCTTTTGCAAATCAATTGGCAAGGAGGTAGAAGATCAACTCAAATCTACCTCCCCTGACTTAGAAACATGAGGTTTATATAAATTTTGAGGGACTGGGATTGACAACAAAAGTTAGAACTTAATTGGCTAAGAAGCAGGTCAGGGAAAAAGAAATATGGACTTAACAAAAGTTCACTGGTGAGATGTAGGTAGTTATGAATTATGAAGTTTCTATAGATAATTGGAGTTTTGAATTTGCAAACTCTAGGCAATTATTAAAAAATGTTTTGAAAGGCATAACTGATATGCAAAGAGAGAAGATGGAATCACATAAAAATGTTTACTTAAAACCACAAGAGAAAGGCAGATAAAATAGGATAAAAAAATGATAGAAAAGACTAACAAATATGGCAACTACACCCATGATATCTGACTATATCAAAAATCATTTTGAATATTAGTGGTCTAAATGCACTAGTTGAAAGAAGTGTCAGAGGAGATACAAAAACAAGATCCAACTGGAAGTTGTCTGAAATTCTACTTTAGAATCTTCACATTCCTCTTAGAGATGAGATCTAAAACTAAATGGTCATTTGTTTATTTTTTAGATGTATGAAAGAAGTGTATGTAGTCATCAATAATCTGGCTCCAATCCATTTGTAATTAAAATTAAGGTGAGATGTGGTAAGGGGCTCTATTGCAGGATAGGAAACAACTATCTTTAATGGTTTTGAAAACTTTAGTACGCAAGAGAAATATCAAGTTAGTGTATTAAGTCATGTTCCCATTAATTCCTTAAGGTTAAGCAGATACGCACTTGTTTGGAAAGAACAATTAAAAATCTTCAGGACTAGTATTCAAGTGACCTTGTGAGCATTCTGAAAAGAATTAGGAATGTTTGTGTCCCAATATGAGGGGAAAGGCAGGCAGATTCTACCAGGAAATCAAAGAAAATTTTAAATCATAGAATGATTATGTGTGCAAAACAACTATGTAAAAAATCAAGTATGTAAACAGTAGAGGGCGTAGGTACAATTATGTGAAATTTTAGATTAGGTTTAATTTCTTTAACATTATCAAGTTAGTATTAATCATCAGAGGTTTCTATTAAACTTTCTTAGCATAATGGATTAAACAGGATGAAAAAATTCCCCAGAATTTTACAATTTGCTAGTGATTTATCTAAATCAGTGTTGGGTACAGAGAAGCACAATGTGATCTGTTTGTGCTTTGTAGAAGATTTAAATAATAGTATGCACAGAAAGTTTGAGTTCTTGAAAGTTAACATTGTTTCATTAGAATTTAACATAACATGCATTTGCTATATTTTAAAAGAAACCTTTATCCTTGAATGGTTTTTCCTGGACCAATATCTCTTATTAGTTTACTCCTTGGACTTTTGCCAAGCTGTAAGTAAGCCAATATTGATTTTCTGCAGCTACTTTGAGGTCAGCATGACCAGTCAATATTATAGCACTTAGGGAAAGAGAATTTTCTAAAAGGATTTCTAAGTAGTGGAATGATACAACATTTAATCCAAAACACTTCGTATTTTTATAAGAAAGTTTGTAGGACCTAAAATTGAATTTTGAAAAAAATGTCTTGAAGTGGGTTGGATTATAATTTACTTCTTTATAACTTTACTTGGAATTTACAAACCAAGTTTTCTTTAAATTAACTATGGCTATAAATGTGCTACTTCTAAGTACTACTCATAAAAATTCATTTCTATAATTGTTTATTCAGAAGGAGTTATCTGTTATAAGATTGATCACACCGTAAAATTCATCATAGTTAAGTAGAAGAGAGGAGATAGAGTCACTGAGATACTTTGTGCTGAATACTTTCACTTTGACTGATGGAGCCTGAAATGATATGCCAAAGATATGCCCTTCTCTAGGGCATCCTCCTGAGAATTGTGATTTCTTTGCTTATTCTCAGAGTCACTTATCTTTTAAATAATATCTCTTAGCCATGTCTTTGTACCATGGTTTCTTTTTTCTGCTTGAAAAATAAATGTCTTCATCAGACAGTATGAAATTCATCTTTAAAAATGCTCAAGAGGGCCCTCCCTGGTTGTACAAGGGGTAAGTCTCACAGCACTGCAAAGGTATGGCAGCTACTGCAACATGAGTTTGATCCCCAGCCCAGAAGGTGACCCACATGGCATGGCAGATCTCTCTTGACCTGTCCACTGCTCCCCTCAGCAGTATATATATATATTTAAAAGATTTATTTATTTATTTATTCATATAGAACTGGGGTACAGGCCAGAAATGCGAAGGGTGAGAGGATTCACCAGAGACAGAGTGGGGAGCAGAACAGGCAGATTGACAAAGTACACTGCTGAGGGCAGCAGCGGGCGGGTCAGGAGAGGTCTGCCGCGCCATGTGGATCTCCTCCGGGGCAGGCGGGAATCGAGCTCATGCAGAAGTGGTTTAAGCTTCTTACCCCACTCTGTCTCTGGTGAGTCCTCTTACCTTCCCCGCCCCCTGGGCCCCAGTTCTTGTATGCAAAAATAAATGAATCTTTTTAAAAAGTGCTCAAGAAGTGAACTGTTGCTCATTCTGTATCAGAATTATATCAGTAGATCGCTCTGGATTCTGGTGAGAACTATCCATCACAGTTATCATGCTTTATAAGAATTAGGCATATGGATATAATAAGATCTGGACCAATCAGGAGCTAATTCTACCAGGAATCTGAACAGAGTGACATCAGTGATGAGAAATTTGGAACTAAACCATTACAGTGGTCTTATCAAACAATCTAAAAAGAGCTCCAGAGTTGTCCTGGTTTCTGTTTCTCCCAAGGTTAAGAGGTTCTGTTTACCTTTGATTTTTTGGAATCACCCAGTATTCTTTCCACACTGGGACAGAGAGTAGTGCAGCACACGTAAGTTTGCTGAAGTTAATTTCAGTAGCTTATAAACAGATCTTCACTTGAGACAGGCGCAAAGCATGTAAATGCACAAAAATCAAATAAGTGATATTAGATAGACCATAAATGATAGAGGCCGCATGATTGACACAAACAGCAGGTATCATAAGAGCCAGATATGTCAGTCAAGGAAAACTTTGTAAAGGAAGTAAGTCATGAGTCGCTGAGCTACTGGAGTCACTTGGGCAGTGCCCACGGAGATCACCACAGAATAACTCTGAGCTAAGTGTTCAGACTAAAGTAAAATTGCACTCAAATCCTAGATGTTTGCAAAATGTTTAGCACAATATTAACAAGTATTTTTTTTTTAAGATTTATTTATTTATGCATACAGAGATGGGGTACAGGCCAGAGGTGCAGGGGCAGTGAGAAGCTTCACCAGAGACAAAGTGGGGAGCAGAACAGGCTGACTGACAAAGTACACTGCTGAGGAGAGCAGCTGGAGGGTCAGGAGAGGTCTGCTGAGTCATGTGGGTCACCTCTGGGGTGGGGATCGAACTTATGCTGAAGTGGCTTTAGCTTCTTAGTGCTGTGCTATAACCTGCTGCGCCACCAGGAAGGGCCCAGCATTCAATTTTAAAAAAATTTATTTATTTATACATACAAGAAGTGGGATACAGGCCAGAAGTGTGTGGGGGCAGTGAGAGGATTCGCCAGAGACAGAGTGGAAAGTTGAACAGGCAGATCTACTGAAATACACTGCTGTGTGAAATACACAGCAGGTGGGTCAGGAAAGATCTGCTGTGCCATGTGGGTCACCCCCCTGGCTAGGGATCAAACTCATGCTACAGTGGCTGCTGATAGCTTCATAGTGCTGTTATGCCACATGGAGGGCCCAAGCATTCAATTTTTTTTAAAGAAATGACATGATGGTGCATATCCATGGCTGAGAGATCATACTTAACTCTCTACAGTGAGTGCATAAAATGGAGTAACATTCTTG